CAGGCTGGCGTGCCTACCTAGAGGCCTGGCTACAGAGGGCAGCACCTGAGTGGCGCGAAATATGAACTAAGCTGGCAGACAGCATGGGCTGTCTGTGCAGACAGTACAGGCTGTCTACATGCCTAGTTATTATTGCTTGAAATCCTGTCAATGCTATCACACTCTCTTTCACTCTATCTTTTTCCTTCAAGATAGTTGAAATGGTAGAATGATCCAACTTCAAGTCATCGGCTATCACTTACACTTTTGTACCAGCTTCATACTCGTTTATACTCTTCATTTTCACCTCAAGATCAAGAGCCTTCCTTTGTTTCTTGGCACTTCCTTCAGGTGGACAATAAAGTACAAATTTGTAGAAATATGTAGTCTTGGAGACAGTAAAAGCTAGTATACTGAGCGGCTGTAGGAAGGAGATTAAGATGCTTGACGCTGAGATGCTGTGCTGCTCATTTCCATGACCCAAGTTCTTGTATGGCATAAAATGCTGACTCGTTGGAGAGCCCAAATGATTAAACTCAGTGAACAAGGTATGTCGATGGTAATACTAATAATAATAATAATCATAAAAATAATAAATAATAATCTCTCTGGAGCAGCTTAAATTACATATATATTTTGTACAGGTTTGGTAGCTGACATTTAAAGTGCTCCAGAGCAATTATTATTATTATTATTATTATTATTATTATTATTATTATTATTATTATTATTATTATTATTATTATTCACCATCTCCCTACTCGAACAAAGCTCACCACTCGACCAAACAAATACGACCTGCCAGAACTTTGCTGTAAACTATTTCGCGTTTCTTCACATTTTTTGGTGCTTTTTCTGTATTACGTATTTGTATAAATAAGTCACCAGGGGGCCTACGAAGATTAGTGATAACAGCCAACCAAACAGAAAATTGGTTGGGAAGAACTTGTTTGATACTCAAACGGAGCGGCACTCGAACAGCCTTCTGAAATGAATTAAGGTCGCATACCGAGGTTCCACTTATTATTATTAATTATTATTATTATTATTATTATTATTATTATTATTATTATTATTATTATTATTATTACCATCGACATACCTTGTTCACTGAGTTTAATAACTGCCACGAGAGACACAGAGAATGTAAACACACAAACGAACACACCAGCTAACCCCTCTACAGTGAACTTCTTTTGTACCTCTTCCATTTTCCTCTTGTTTGTCCTCTTCCAAGTGCTGATGCACTTCTAACTCTATCTTGTACTATGGGTGTACAATAATGTACAAATTTATAGATGAAATATGTAGTCTTGGAGACTGTGAAAGCAAGTATACTGAGTGGCTGTAGGAAGGAGATTGAGATGCTTGACACTGAGATACAGTTCTGCCCGTTTCCATGACCCAAGTTCTCGCATGGCATAAAATGAAAACTCGTGGGAGAGCCCGTTGTAACTCTGAGTTGTCAGTAAACGAGTACGTCGGTAAGTGAGAAGAGGCTGCATTACATTATTACATGAACTCATAATAGCACAGTGCTCAAATTTCCTTAAATATTGTAAAATTGAATTTGATAAAAAAAAAAAAAAAGGTTTAACAAAGAAAACTTTGGGGTCTGAAAATATCTGTTGAAATTATTTTTAGAAAAATTTTTTGATATACATTGGTACCTTGACTTACAAGTTTAATTCATTCCTTGACCGAGCTCATAACTCAGTTTGCTTGTACATGTATATTAAATCAATTTTCCTCATTGAAATTAACTGAAATGCCATTGATCTGTTCCAGCCCCCAAAAACCACTCTACGGGCAGAAGAAATTACTTCAATATAACACTAATATCAACTCTACAGCTTATTTATCTATGAGAATTGATCTAATATGACATAATAAACACTATAAGTAATATAGAAACATGATATATACTCTAGAATGAATAAAATAGGCCATAATATGGAGAGTGTCCAGGATCAGTTCGAGCATATAAAATCACTACTGCTTCTTCCTATAATGTGTTCTTTGGTTCTGGGTAAGAGAGTTTTTGAGAGGCTAACTGCACTAGATCTCTACTGCAGTGATCTATGACTATCTCAGAAGTAATTATTGACTTATTTCATGAAGCCCACCATTTATTATGAAAGTAAATGCAATAATATTGACAGGGATCACAAAAAAATTATTGTTCTACAATTGGCTTATAGAATATTGGAAATATTCCAAATATTTTGGGATTTGTGTGGGAGGAAAGGGAAGATATTTTGCAAATGTCAGAAACTTAGCAACTTTTTTTTTTTGTAGAATAACTAAAGATCATCACACAATTACCTCAAGTTAGAACATCACATTAAAATTGTTTTATAAGTCCCAAGTCCCAAAACCACCTTTCATTGTGCCATTTAGGCTGGGGTTCTTGCCAAATGTCATTTTCAGTAAATATTTTTTTTTTCGCTCGTAACTTGGATTTTCGCTCACAACTCAAAGCAAAAAATCGACCAAGCAATGGCTTGTACAGTGGACCCCTGGATTACCACATTAATCCGTTCCAGAGAGCATGTCTTATACTGAATCTGTCGTAATCTGAATTAATTTTCCCCATAAGAAATAATGGAAATCCAACTAATCCATTCCAGACACCCAAATGTATTAAACAAAATAATTTTTTTACATGAAATATACATTTCCCTACACAGACAACAATGAGACATGCAGAATAAATACATAAATAAATAATAAAATGACACTTACCTTTACTGAAGAGTATTGATAAGTGATGAGACACTGTTTTTCTTGAACACACTGGGATTTTCAGCGATATACAAGTAAAGGCCTCACTTTGCAATCCCCACTAGCATTACAACAAAACATGAGAGTTAGCCTGTCTTTCATAGGCTTGTATCCTGGGAGTGCCTTTTCCTCCTGAGTAATGTAGGTCCTGTTTGGTATTTTCTTCAAGAACAGGCCTGTTTTGTCACAATTGAGCACTTCATGAGGTTGGAATTTTTCAGTCTCGCCATGCCTTATCACACTGTGTATGCCACTACAATTCTTAAATCTCTCAAACCAACCTTTGCTGGCCTTAAATTCACCAATATGAGCACTAGTTCCAGGTATTATTTCCTGTTCACCTGAGTGTTAGTTGACTGGTGTGGGTCGCATCTTGGGGAACAAGATTAAGGACCCCAATGGAAATAAGTTAGACAGTCCTCGATGATGCACTGACTTTCTTGGGTTATCCTGGGTGGCTAACCCTCTGGAGGTTAATTGTTTCTCATTGATCCACACCAACAACAGTCTCTCCACATCTTCGAGTAGTATTTGCGATCTCTATTTTGTAAGCATATTTGCACCATTCGCCACAACACCTTCCTTGATTGCCTTTTTCTTGGCCAAGATAGTAGCGATGGTTGTATGGGGTTTGTTATACAGCCTGGCCAGCTCGGAGATACGCACTCCACTTTCATATTTTGCAATGAATTCTATATTTTTTTCACCCTCTTTACGAAGGGCTGGCACTAGAAGCTTTCTTTGGGCCCATGGTGGCTTATTTACCAGTTACAAGCACTAAAGCAGTGGAATAATACAAAATGTATCGCATGTATGCGTGGAATCGCCCTCACTGGCTTGTAAACAATGGCACACTGGCTGTACATGGAGTGTCCGGCTGCTTACGGCACGCAGACACGTTCGGGATGAATGACTTTAACAGAGCCAATATTTTTATGCAGAAACGTTACTTAATCTGAATTTTACGTAATCTGACAATGACGTAATCCGGGGGTCCACTGTAATTCAGAAAACTCGTAAGTTAGGGCACTTGCAAGTCAAGGTACCACTGTATTAGAATTTTTGAGTCACTGGTGTAACACCAAGTGTTTAGGATGCTGTACAGTTAACCCTTAAGGGTTAAACCAAAAATTGTGAGGGGTTGTTTTCTTAGAAGTCTCATGTATTTGGAATTTGTGAATACAGTAATATAAAATTCTGTATAATATATTTTGTTAAAGTTTTGGGATAATTTTGTTTGATTCCATGTGTCTAAATATTGCTGTAGTGGGTTAATATTGACATTTGTAAAAAACAAAAAGACTAATGAGAAAAGAAATTTGGGCATAAAAAAGTTATTAAGTACATTTTAAATGAAGTCCTTTGGTTGGTTTTCAATTTAGGAGTCATGTGCATCAAGCAACAGTAAATGGGTTATATGGCAGGACAAAAAAGTGGGTATGTAATGTGAAAATCTTCATGAGTTATTTATGAGATGCCCTTCAGGAAAAACATTGTATAATCCAGTGTCATGAATTATGAATCTTGTATATTTGAAGGTTTCACTGTATTTCTGTAAATATCATGCTGATAAAATTAATAATGAAATAGGTAATAAGAAAAGATGCTATTGTGAGTATGGTACAGTCCTGTGGAAGGTTTTATCTGGTATTCCATTGAGCATAATTTGAAAAGCATTCTGTGTCATGTTTTCAATTTGAGGGGAAGTGCTACACTGAAGAGAAAGGGGTACCTCATGCCTACACATTCTCTTCACCCAAATGAGACTAAAATTTTTAAATTCTATTTGGAAGCTCTCCTTAATTAATAATTGTCCTGAATGTTATAAGAGAAGTGACCTACTTCTCTTACAGCATTTTCTAAACATTCTATAATTCATACATCCCTGAGCACTAATTACCATGGGTTACTGTAAGAGGCATAAAATACTGACAAGTTGCAAAACAAACAAAAAAGCAGGATGAATACTGTATTTTGTTGCAGTGATTTCCTTGGAGATGAAGCTTTTTCAAATTTGTCTGTCATAGACTTGGACAAGCTTGATCTTCAAGAAAAAAGTTGTTTTAATAGTGTTCATTTTGTTATCCATGTTTTGTAACTAATTACGTACTATAATCTTAGTAAATATTATTTTATCTGAATACAGTTATTGATATACAGAACTATTTTATAATGTACTTACATTATATTGTACTGTATACTCTTCATTTCCTTTTCATGAATTTCCTGATCATCAGGTAGTCCAAAGAGAAGTGTTGATAGTCCAAAATCACCTAAAATGAGAGGTAGTGAGTCATCTCCTTCCTTCCGAAGGGATCAGGTATTAAGACTTGATCCACTACCACCAATCAGTGTCACACCATATCCTCTGTCAACTTCTACGGAAATGGCCATGGCCATGAGTTCAGAGGCACAGGCATTACAGGTTAGTTAATACAATGCTTAATCATTTTATACTCAGTATTATGTAGAGGTGAAGGTTTACTGCCATTGTCATTTTCTTAGGTTAACTGTGTATTATGAGTGAGGTGAAAGAGTTGAATGATGATGAAAGTATTTTCTTTTTGGGGATTGTCTTTCTTTTTGGGTCACCCTGCCGTGGTGGGAGACGACTGACTTGTTGAAAAAAAAAACTGTGTATTAAGAGTTGCATAATTTAGGTCTTTACAGTGTTATTAATTTATAATTATAATTACAGGATAGGGTAAAGGTGTTGTCAGATCTGGTCCGGGAGCTGCAGAAAGCCAGGGATGATAATATTCCTCACATGAATTCTATTAATGCTCTCTCTGACAAAATTGTCAATGAAGAAAAATTGACTGTTTCAAATCGGGTGAGTGAATTTCTTGTTTCTTTTGTAAAGGAATATGGTACTGTACATAATTTGTTTATTTCCATTTATTATTTATATCATTAATTCACATTTCTTCAGATGATTAATTGTATGTCCATCTGGGTTCACATTTCGTGCCATGCTGGTGCTGCCACTTATAGACCTACTTATCTCAGCCCACATCACGCTTCCTCTGCCTCACTCTGGCAGCCGACCTCATTCGGTCAGTAAGGTCTACTCTGTCACTCTCTCCCGGGCATGGCCTTCTGGGCCTGGGCCTGGCTGGGCCCCATAACACACTGCCTGTGTACCAAGAACCCAGTAAAACTACATAACACCTCCAGAGCCTTATTATTGATCCCCGGCTTGCACAGGACTCAAATCATTGTAATATAATTTTAATTTAGTAAACTAAGTACTGTAGTAGAAAAAATGAAATAATGCGAAGGAAATAAATCTGAATTGTTTTGTATGAGCGGAGTTTGGACATCCAGCAGGTGGTTGTGAGCAGGCTAGATAGGAATGAGTGTAGGGGATGGGTTTTTATGGCTTGATGTACTGTGGAGTGTGAGCAAGGTAACATTTATGAAGGGATTCAGGGAAACTGGTTTGCTAGACTTGAGTCCTGGAGATGCGGAATACAGAAGTTCCTAGATTAATGTCGTTTCTTTCAACATCTTTTCATTATAAAGTTGATGAGAGGAAAAAAAAATTGATTCCCGGCTGGGGCCACTGTGTATGTGGAGATTGCATGTTCTCCCCATGTCTGTGTGGGTTTTCTCTGGGTACTCCAGTTTCCTCCCACATTTCACTGATGTTCACGTTAGGTTCATTGGCATGTCTAAATTGTTTCAATATGAGTGAGTGTAGGTGTGTGAGTGTAGGTGTGTGTGTGTGTGTGTGTGTGTGCGTGTGTGCGTGTGTGAGCGTGCCCTGAGATGGAATGGCGTCCTGTCCAGGCTTGATTCTCTCCTTGTGCCTTGAGCTGCCAGGATAGGCCCTGGCCACCTGTGACCCTGAATTGGAATAAACAGGTTGGAAAATGAATGAATGAATGAATGCAAATTATTGTAAAATAAAAATTAATAGAGTATACAATAATCATACAAATGCACAACAATAAATGATGTGGTACGAAAGCATTCAGCGAACGTACCATGTTTGTTTTTGAACTGCGTAGTGGTACAAGGTGTTTCTTACAATTTTAGCTTTGCAAACATTTATTCCTTGATTTAATTAACCTACGGTAAAATTGGTTTCATTATATGTTGTTTTGCTTAAAGTCGCAGTTTTCAAGAACCTATTGATGACATTAAGTGAGAACTTAGTGTATAGTGCCTGCACTCTGAAGAAGGGGCAGTAATATTGCAATTTGGAGGGGCATCTGAACTGTAGCATCAGCATGCATCTGGGAAGACAGTGATAGAGTGAGTGATCGTGAAAGTGTTTCCTTTTTTTTTGGGGCCATTCTTCCTTGGTGGAAGATGGCTGGTGTGTTAATAAAAAATGCAAATGTACCTAATTGTTGGTAAGCAGACTAATAGAATTTTTTTTTTTTTTCCAACAAGTCGGCCGTCTCCCACCGAGGCAGGGTGACCCAAAAAAGAAAGAAAATCCCCAAAAAGAAAATATTTTCATCATCATTCAACACTTTCACCACACTCGCACATTATCACTGTTTTTGCAGAGGTGCTCAGAATACAACAGTTTAGAAGCATACACATATAAAGATACACAACATATCCCTCCAAACTGCCAATATCCCAAACCCCTCCTTTAAAGTGCAGGCATTGTACTTCCCATTTCCAGGACTCAAGTCCGACTATATGAAAATAACCGGTTTCCCTGAATCCCTTCACTAAATATTACCCTGCTCACACTCCAACAGATCGTCAGGTCCCAAGTACCATTCGTCTCCATTCACTCCTATCTAACACGCTCACTCATGCTTGCTGGAAGTCCAAGCCCCTTGCCCACAAAACCTCCTTTACCCCCTCTCTCCAACCCTTTCGAGGACGAGACCCTACCCCGCCTTCCATCCCCTATAGATTTATATGCTTTCCATTTCATTCTACTTTGATCCATTCTCTCTAAATGACCAAACCACCTCAACAACCCCTCTTCTGCCCTCTGACTAATACTTTTATTAACTCCACACATTTTCCTAATTTCCACACTCCGAATTTTCTGCATAATATTTACACCACACATTGCCCTTAAACAGGACATCTCCACTGCCTCCAACCGTCTCCTCGCTGCTGCATTTACCACCCAAGCTTCACACCCATATAAGAGTGTTGATACTACTGTGCTTTCATACATTCCCTTCTTTGCCTCCATAGATAACGTTTTTTGACTCCACACATACCTCAACGCACCACTCACCTTTTTTCCCTCATCAATTCTATGATTAACCTCATCCTTCATAAATCCATCCGCCGACACGTCAACTCCCAAGTATCTGAAAACATTCACTTCTTCCATACTCCTCCTCCCCAATTTGATATCCAATTTTTCTTTATCTAAATCATTTGACACCCTCATCACCTTACTCTTTTCTATGTTCACTTTCAACTTTCTACCTTTACACACATTCCCAAACTCATCCACTTACCTTTGCAATTTTTCTTTAGAATCTCCATAAGCACAGTATCATCAGCAAAAAGTAACTGTATCAATTCCCATTTGAATTTGATTCCCCAAAATTTAATCCCACCCCTCTCCCGAACACCCTAGCATTTACTTCCTTTACAACCCCATCTATAAATATATTAAACAACCATGGTGACATTACACATCCCTGTCTAAGACCTACTTTTACCGGGAAGTAGTCTCCCTCTCTTCTACACACCCTAACCTGAGCCTCACTATCCTCATAAAAACTCTTTACAGCATTTAATAACTTACCACCTATTCCATATACTTGCAACATCTGCCACATTGCTCCTCTATCCACTCTATCATATGCCTTTTCTAAATCCATAAATGCAATAAAAACTTCCCTACCTTTATCTAAATACTGTTCACATATAATGTATGCTTCAATGTAAACACTTGATCTACATATCCCCTACCCACTCTGAAACCTCCTTGCTCTTCCACAATCCTACATTCTGTCTTACCTCTAATTCTTTCAATTATATCCCTACTGTACACTTTTCCTGGTATACTCAGTAAACTTCTTTCTTTCTTCTTTCAACACATCGGCCATATCCCACCAAGGCAGGGTGGCCCAAAAGGAAAAACGAAAGTTTCTCCTTTTACATTTAGTAATATATACAGGAGAAGAGGTTACTAGCCCCTTGCTCCCGGCATTTTAGTTGTCTCTTACAACACGCATGGCTTACGGAGGAAGAATTCTATTCCACTTCCCCATGGAGAAAAGAGGAAATAAACAAGAATAAGAACTAGAAAGAAAATAGAAGAAAACCCAGAGGGATGTGTGTATATATATATGCCTGTACATGTATGTGTAGTGTGACCTAAGTGTAAGTAGAAGTAGCAAGACGTACCTGAAACCTTGCATATTTATGAGACAGAAAAATGGACACCAGCAATCCTACCAACATGTAAAACAATTACAGGCTCTCGTTTTACATTCACTTGGCAGGACGGTAGTACCTCCTTGGGCGGTTGCTGTCTGCCAATCTACTACCTATAACTCAGTAAACTTATTCCTCTAAAATTTTTACAGTCTCTTTTGTCCCCTTTCCCTTTATATAAAGGGACTATACATGCTCTCCGCCAATCCCTAGGTACCTTCCCCTCTTTCATACATTTATTAAACAAAAGTACCAACCACTCCAACACTATATCCCCCCTGCTTTTAACATTTCTGTCATGATGCCATCATTTCCAGCTGCTTTACCCCCTTTCATTTTACGTAAAGCCTCACGTACCTCCCCCACACTTACATTCTGCTCTTCTTCACTCCTAAAAGATGGTATACCTCCCTGACCAGTGCATGAAATTACTGCCTCTGTTTCTTCCTTAACATTTAAAAGTTCCTCAAAATATTCTCGCCATCTACCTAATACCTCCATCTCCCCATCTACTAACTCCCCTACTCTGTTTTTAACTGATAAATCCATTTGTTCCCTAGGCTTTCTAAACTTGTTGAACTCACTCCAAATTTTTTTCTTATTTTCATTAAAATTTCTTGACAGTGCCTCTCCCACTCTATCATCTGCTCTCCTTTTGCACTCTCTCACCACTCTCTTTACATTTCTTTTACTCTCCATATACTCTGCTCTTCTTATAACACTTCTGCTTTGTAAAAACCTCTCATAAGCTACCTTTTTCTCTTTTATCACACCCTTTACTTCATCATTCCACCAATCACTCCTCTTTCCTCCTGCCCCCACCCTCCCATAACCACAAACTTCTGCCCCACATTCTAATACTACATTTTTAAAACTATTCCAACCCTCTTCAACCCCCCACTACTCATCTTTGCACTAGCCCACCTTTCTGCCAATAGTCGCTTATATCTCACCTGAACTTCCTCCTCCCTTAGTTTATACACTTTCACCTTCCTCTTACTTGTTGTTGCCACCTTCTCTTTTCCCATTTACCTCTTACTCTAACTGTAGCTACAACTAAATAATGATCCGATATATCAGTTGCCCCTCTATAAACATGTACATCCTGGAGCCTACCCAAACAACCTTTTATTCCACCAATACATAATCTAATAAACTACTTTCATTACGTGCTACATCTACCTTGTATATTTATTTATCCTCTTTTTCATAAAATATGTATTACTTATTACCAAATATCTTTCTACCATAGCTCAATTAAAGGCTCCCCATTTACATTTACCCCTGGCACCCCAAATTTACCTACTACTCCCTCCATAACATTTTTACCCACTTTAGCATTGAAATCCCCAACCACCATTACTCTCACACTTGATTCAAAACTCCCATGCATTCACTCAACATTTCCCAAATCTCTCTCTCTCCTCTACACTTCTCTCTTCTCCAGGTGCATACACGCTTATAACCCACTTTTCACATCCAATCTTTATTTACTCCACATAATCCTTGAATTAATACATTTATAGTCCCTCTTTTCCTGCCATAGCTTATCCTTCAACATTATTGCTACTCCTTCTTTAGCTCTAACTCTATTTGAAACTCCTGACCTAATCCCCTTTATTCCTCTCCACTGAAACTCTCCCACCCCCTTCAGCTTTGTTTCACTTAAAGCCAGGACATCCAGCTTCTTCTCATTCATAACATCCACAATCATCTCTTTCTTATCATCTGCACAACATCCACGCATATTCAGACTTCCCACTTTGACAATTTTCTTCTTCTTATTCTTTTTAGTAATCTTTACAGGAAAAGGGGTTACTAGCCCATTGTTCCCGGCATTTTAGTTGACTTTTACAACACGCATGGCTTACGGAGGAAAGATTCTTATTCCACTTCCCCATGGATATAAAAGGAAAAGTAATAAGACCAAGAACTATTAAGATAAAATCAAAGAAAACTCAGATGAGTGTGTATAAATAAATGTGTACATGTATGTGTAGTGTGACCTAAGTGTAAGTAGAAGTAGCAAGACATACCTGTAATCTTGCATGTTTATGAGACAGACAAAAGACATCAGCAATCCTTCCATCATGTAAAACAATCACAGGCTTTCGTTTTACACTCACTTGGCAGGACAGTAGTACCTCCCTGGGTGGTTGCTGTCTACCAACCTATACCATAATAGAAATATAATTTAGAATCTGTCTTTATGTCAAGAATTATATTAATGCTTTGCAAATAAATGGATCTTTGATTTAAAGAACTGGAGGTACAGTCCCCTTCTTTGTATCATGTCTGATTACCATCCATTAGCCAAGCACTGAATGAACCCTACAGGTATGCAGCTTCCCAGTACCTATCATAATAATAATAATAATAATAATAATAATAATAATAATAATAATAATAATAATAATAATAATAATAATTTGTATTCTTCATATTCTTGGATTTAAGGACGATATAACTTGTTTTTGTTTCTCAGACAAAGCTGAAAATGATGTACGAGAAAGCGGTAGGTGACGCAGAAAAAGAAGTGGCGCTTGTAAAAAAGGCCCTCGCCACTGTGTATCAGATTCGCAACATCCGTCATGAGCTTCGTATACAGGTGAGTTGGTAATAAATAACTAAATTTTTACAATTGTATAATATCTTTATTCAATGTTAATTCTTCTTCTTTGAACAAACCAGCCGCATCCCACCAAAATAGGGTGGCCCAAAAAGAAAAACGGAAGTTTCTCTTTTAGACTTTAGTAGTATATAGAAGAGAAGGAGTTACTAGCCCCTTGCTCTCAGATTTTAATGTGAACTAATATTCTAGTAGGCACCAGTTAATTTGCTGTATCTATAGTTAACTAGTTAAAGTGTTCCTTGCAGCACATTAATTTATACTATAGTTTTTAGATACACAAATCTCAACTTTAAACATATTTATGTGTGTGGGAGTGTGAGTGTATGCTAGGTGAGTGCTGGTGAGTGGGCAGGTGCATGCATGAGTGAATGAGAAAGATTACTGTTTTACTTATTTTAACACTGAGAACCACATGTTTCCTCCTGGCACCACCACTTGCTTTGGAAGCCATTATTAATTGCACCTTATTTAATATGTTAATAAAGTCACAAAATTGTCTAAATCTAGGGGAAAATTAGAGACTGAATGACAGGTGTATGTTTTTTTTTTTTTTTTTACCCTTTGAGGGTCGACAGGCCCTCTCCGAAACTCGTTCTCAGGGTCGGCCAAATTTAAAAAAAAAAATTATTTTCTCTTATGAAAAGATAGAGAATCTTTTCCCGATCATAAAGACACCAAAAGTTTGAAATTTGATAGAAAACTTACGGAATTATGCTCTCGCAAAGTTAGTGGTCTCGGCGATGTTTACGCATCGGCGATTTTGCCCACTTTGAGCCCCATTTTCGGCCAATTCCACTGTACTAGTCGACAAAAAACATGAATATTTCGCTAGAACTCCATTTTTTCTATCGAATGGGTGCAAGAAACCACCCATTTATGAAATTCAACTATCCAGTAACAGTGGTCAGAATTTAGCAATTTTGCCAATTTCACACAAATTTCAAAAGATGCCAATTTCCAAAATAGGGTCCAGAATAAACAAGAAAGACATTCCTGGCACTAAAATGACATTTCCTCTAGTCATTAGTCACGTCTCAAGGCCCCTCTTATATTCTTTTGCTTTCCACTTTGAATTTTTATCTCACAAAAAATAAAAAAGATTTACTGTTATGCAGACTACTGCATTAGTGTAAAAAATGGTATAAATATTATTGGTGCATTTGGGTGAAAGAAAAATTAGACTCACCAGTTGACGTGTATTGCACGCTTGGCACGATTTGTTTACTTTGAAGTTTGGTAAAAATCGAACATTTTTGCTACTTTGGCTCAATTTCAAGGCACCTTTCATTGTAAAACCAGTCAAAATCATCTCAAATTTCTGTTAATAATGTCTTCCATTCTATAAAATGAGACCAAGAAAACTAGAATACAAAAAATAAATACCATACGAAAATACACTGCAAAGTCGCTGATTTATTCCAAAAAAATGGTCAAATTTTTTTTTTTCTCATTATGCACTGTGTGCTGCAGGATTTTTTTTAGACTGTGCACACTGACCACATAGACCCATTCTTTCATATGAAGGCCTACCAGCTTTCTCCCACTAGATTTGAGGGCGCTAGAATTTAGGCGTACTAGTACGTTAAAAACCCTGGGTCGTAAGCCGTACTAGTACATCCGAAACCATCAAAGGGTTAACAAGTCAGCCGTCTCCCACCGAGGCAGGGTGACCCAAAAAGAAAGAAAATACTTTCATCATCATTCAACTCTTTCACCTCACACATAATCACTGTTTTTGCAGAGGTGCTCAGAACACATCAGCTTAGAAGCATATACGTATAAAGATACACAACCTATCCCTCCAAACTGCCAATATCCCGAACCCCTCCTTTAGAGTGCAGGCATTGTACTTCCCATTTCCAGGACTCAAGTCCGGCTATATAAATATAACCGGTTTCCCTCAATCATTTCACTAAATATTACCCTGCTCACACTCCAACAGATTGTCAGGTCCCAAGTACCATTCGTCTCCATTCACTCCTATCGAACATGCTCACGCATGCCTGCTGGAAGTCCAAGCCCCTCGCCCACAAAACCTCCCTTACCCCTTCCTTCCAACCTTTTCGAGGATGACCCCTACCCCGCCTTCCTTCCCCTACAGATTTAAATGCTCTCCATGTCATTCTACTTTGATCCATTCTCTCTAAATGACCAAACCACCTCAACAAACCCTCTTCAGCCCTCTGACTAATAATTTTATTAACTCCACACCTTCTAATTTCCACACTCCGAATTTTCTGCATAATATTTACACCACACATTGCCCTTAGACAGGACATTTCCACTGACTCCAACCACCTCCTCGCTGCTGCATTCACAACCCAAGCTTCACACCCATATAAGAGTGTTGGTATTACTATACTTTCATACATTCCCTTCTTCGCCTCCATAGATAAGGTTTTTTGTCTCCACATATACCTCAACGAACCAATAACCTTTTTTCCCTCATCAATTCTATGATTAACCTCATCTTTCATAAATCCATCCGCCAACACTTCAACTCCCAAGTATGTATCTGAAAACATTCACTTCTTCCATACTCCTCCTCCCCAATTTGATATCCAATTTTTCTTTATCTAAATCATTTGATACCCTCATCACCTTACTTTTTTCTATGTTCACTTTCAACTTTCTACCTTTACACACACTCCCAAACTCGTCCACTAACCTTTGCAATTTTTCTTTAGAATCTCCCATAAGCACAGTATCATCAGCAAAAAGCAACTGTGTCAATTCCCATTTTGTATTTGATTCCCCATAATTTAATCCCACCCCTCTCCCGAACACCCTAGCATTTACTTCTTTTACAACCCATCTATAAATATATTAAACAACCATGGTGACATTACACATCCCTGTCTAAGACCTACTTTTACCGGGAAGTAGTCTCCCTCTCTTCTACACACCCTAACCTGAGTTTATCCTCATAAAAACTCTTTACAGCATTTAGTAACTTACCACCTATTCCATATACTTGCAACATCTGCCACATTGCTCCCCTATCCACTCTATCATATGCCTTTTCTAAATCCATAAATGCAATATAAACTTCCCTACCTTTATCTAAATACTGTTCACATATATGCTTCAGTGTAAACACTTGATCTACACATCCCCTACCCACTCTGAAACCTCCTTGCTCATCCGCAATCCTACATTCTGTCTTACCTCTAATTCTTTCAATTACTATAACCCTACTGTACACTTTTCCTGGTATACTCAGTAAACTTATTCCTCTATAATTTTTACAATTTCTTTTGTCCCCCTTCCCTTTATATGAAGGGACTATACAAGCTCTCCGCCAATCCCTAGGTACCTTCCCCTCTTTCATACATTTATTAAACAAAAATACCAACCACTCCAACACTATATATACCCCCCCCCCCCTGCTTTTAACATTTCTGTCATGATCTCCTCAGTTCCAGCTGCTTTACCCCCTTTCATTCTACATAATACCTCACGCACCTGGAGTTTACCTGGAGAGAGTTCCGGGTTCAACACCCCCGCGGCCCGGTCTGTGACCAGGCCTCATGGTGGATCAGAGCCTGATCAACCAGGCTGTTACTGCTGGCTGCATGCAATCCAACGTATGAGCCACAGCCCGGCTGGTCAGGTACAGACTTTAGGTGCTGGGTGTGGGTGTGGTGGCCAGGAACAATGGAAACAGACAGGTCCTGGACAAGGTTGCTCTGGCCTATACCAGAGAAGCAGTGAGTCATCAGATTAAACTTCAGACACTAGTACTATGGATAAAATATAGAATTACTGACCTTTGCCATTTTGTCTGGCCATTTTTTTTGGCTGAAACTGCCAAATCCATTAATGAGAAGCTTGGAAATAAATGGTATAAAATACCGACACAATGGAAATATAAACACATATGCAGTATAATGTGATCCTTTAGTGGCTTGAAAAAACCCACTGTGTGGGTGAAACGTTGTCAATAAAGGATCACATTATACTGCATACGTGTTTATATTTCCAATGAGAGGCTTACTGCATAGTCATCCATGCTCTTTTGTTGCAGGCTAAGAACTCGGGAAATAAAGAAACTATCCGTCGTGGTGCCCTGATGAAGATGTTACTGAACTGTGCTCAGACATTGCCACTTTGGATTGGTAATACAGGGGAGAAACCACCTCCATTATGTGGGGCCGTTCCTCCAGAACAGAATTATGTTGCTAAGGTACAGTTATATTCTTTTAGTGTCTGTATACATGTACTTGATTTTGTTTATCTATCTTGAAAATGATAATACAGTGGAACCTCGGCTTACGAATTTAATCCATTCTGTGACCTCGTTCGTATCCCGTTTTTGTTCATATGCTGAGTCAGTTTTCCTCGTTTAAATTAATTGAAGTGGCATTAATCCGTTCCAGCGGAATTCCTGCTCTTAGGAGGCACGACAAAATACTTCAGTATGATGCTAATATCAACTCTGCAGCTTATTTATATATTACAATTCATCTAATTTTACTATCACTCAAGGAATGCACAACAGATGCATCATTGTCAGTGTTCAGGATTTCTTTGATGTCAGCTTCCTGTAACTCCATTAGCACACAGTCAAGATGAGTAAATAGAATTGTCAACGCTTATTGCTTGGGTACATTTATTCTGTTAGTGGGCTGGATCTGTAAAGGACCTGCCTAGTATGGGCCAACAGGCCTACTGCGTGTTCCTCCTTTCTAATGTTATTATGTACCCACGACACCAATCATACTCAACCCCTCCCACTCATATATTTGTCCAGTCTCTTTTTAAAGCTACCCAAGGTTCTATTGAAGCTGAAACCTCGGGTAGTTTCAAATTTAGGTTGGATAAATACATAGTATTTTTATAGTAGTAGGTTGGTAGACAGCAACCACAACCACCCAGGGAGGTACTACCGTCCTGCCAAGTGAGTGTGAAATGAAAGCCTGTAATTGTTTTACAAGATGGTAGGATTGCTGGTGTCTTTTGTCTGTCTCATAAATATGCAAGGTTACAGGTACGTCTTGCTACTTCTACTTACACTTAGGTCACACTAAACATACATGTACATGTTTATACACACTCATCTGAGTTTTCTTTGATTTTTATCTTAATTCTTTTTCTTAGTACTTTTCCTTTTATATCCATGGGGAAGTGGAATAAGAATCTTTCCTCCGTAACCCATGCGTGTTGTAAAAGTCAACTAAAATGCCGGGAACAATGGGCTAATAACCCCTTTTCCTGTAATAATTACTAAAAAGAATAAGAAGAAAATTGTCAAAGTGGGAAGTCTGAATGTGCGTCGATGTTGTGCGAATGATAAGAAAGAGATGACTGTGGATATCATAAATGAGAAGAAGCTGGATGTCCTGGCTTTAAGTGAAATAATAAGCTGAAGGGGGTGGGTGAGTTTCAGTAGAGAGGAATAAATGGGATTAGGTCAGGGGTTTCTAATAGAGTTAGAGCTAAAGAAGGAGTAGCAATAATGTTGAAGGATAAGCTATGGCAGGAAAAGAGGGACTATAAATGTATTAATTCAAGGATTATGTGGAGTAAAATAAAGGTTGGATGTGAGAAGTGGGTTATAGTAAGCGTATATGCACCTGGGGAAGAGAGAAGTATAGGGGAGAGAGAGAGATTTAGGGAAATGTTGAGTGAATGCGTGGGGAGTTTTGAACCAAGTGTGAGAGTACGTGTGGTTGGGGATTTTAATGCTAAAGTGGGTAAAAATGTTGTGGAGGGAGTAGTAGGTAAATTTGGGGTGCCAGGGATAAACAAAAATGAGGAGCCTTTAATTGAGCTATGTGTAGAAAGAGGTTTGGTAATAAGTAATACATATTTTATGAAAAAGAGGATAAATAAATATATGTACAAGGTATGATGTAGCACGTAATGAAAGTAGTTTGTTAGATTATGTATTGGTGGATAAAAGGTTGATGGGTAGGCTCCAGGATGTACACGTTTATAGAGGGGCAACTGATATATCGGATCATTATCTAGTTGTAGCTACAGTTAGAGTAAGAGGTAGATGGGATAAGAGGAAAATGGCAACAACAAGTAAGAGGGAGGTGAAAGTGTATAAACTAAGGGAGAAGGAAGTTAGAGTGAAATATAAGCAACTATTGGCAGAAAGGTGGGCTGGTGCAGGTATGAGTAGTAGGGGGGTTGAAGAGGGTTGGAATGGTTTTAAAAATGCAGTATTAGAATGTGGGGCAGAAGTTTGTGGTTATAGGAGGGTGGGTGCAGGAGGAAAGAGGAGTGATTGGTGGAATGATGAAGTAAAGGGTGTGATAAAAGAGAAAAAGGTAGCTTATGAGAGGTATTTACAAAACAGAAGTGTTATAAGAAGAGTAGAGTATATGGAGAGTAAAAGAAAGGTGAAGAGAGTGGTGAGAGAGTGCAAAAAGAAAGCTGATGATAGAGTGGGAGAGGTAATGTCAAGAAATTTTAATGAAAATAAGAAAAAAATTTAAGAAAGCCTAGGGAACAAATGGATTTGTCAGTTAAAAACAGAGTAGGGGAGTTAGTAGATGGGGAGATGGGGGTTTTGGGTAGATGGTGAGAATACCTTGAGGAACTTTTACATATCGACGAAGAAAGGGAGGCGGTAATTTCATGCACTGGCCAGGGAGGTACACATTAAAATCAGTGTCTTATGTCTCGAGACGTCATATTAGTAACGATAATAATAATCACCGAGTCTCATTTATATGTATATTATGTTAATATACACATTTTCATTAATCCATCTATGATATTTTTTTGAAAATTATATAATAAACACGATGCATAACATATAAATATGATAAATGCACCCCACAGTAGAATAAATAAACATAAATATGAGATATGGTGGCAGATGACTTGCACAAGTGACGCCATATTAGAAATAATAATAATCACGGAGTCTCGTTAAATGTCATATATTACGTTAATATACACATTTTTCATTAATCCATCCATGATTTTTTTTCAAAATTATATAATAAACACGATACATAACATATAAAGATGATAAATACACCCCACAATAGAATAAATGAACATAAATATGAGATGTCGTAGCCAGATAACTTGTACAAGTGACGGCAAGAATAACATTTTCTCTAATCTAACATAAGAGAAAATGTGTTACTGTATGTAAGTATGTATGTAAGTAAGTAAGTTTATTCAGGTATACACAAATACAGTTACATAGATTATCATACATAACAGCATATGTGTAGAGAACCTAGGATAACCCAAAAAAGTCAGACAGAGTGACTTTTTTCCATTGCCTTCACTCAGAGCGTCATTTCTTCTAAAAATGGTGTTACATGAGAATGGGAGCGTTCTTCTTTATTTATTCTACCGTATCAATGTAGAGACAACTTGTGCACAATGTAACTTGTACACAAACCAGATGTGTACACTTTGTTTACAAAACTTACGTTCGCCTGGTTTGTTTACATAACTCTGCGCCTGTCCTCCCTCACGTACTCTCTCTCTCTCTTATTTATTCATTTTATCTCGTTTACTCACCCCTGACCCTACATTAAGACTACAAATATTTTAAGGTAAGTAATGAGTGAACTGTATATGCATTTTATCGCTCTGGGATGCTTAAATATCATAGAATAGTATGTGTGGGTGGGGTGGCCTGGTAAGGTAGCCCGGCTGACTACCATACATACCACACTTGATTTCTTACAATAAATACTACTCATCTTACCCTAGATTAAGACTACAAATATATTAAGGTAAGTAATGAGTAAACTGTATATGCATTTTATCGCTCTGGGATGCTCAAATGTAATAGAATATTATGTGTAGGTGGGGTGGCCTGGTATGGTAGCCCGGCTGACTACAATACATATAACACTTGATTTCTTACAATAAATACTACTTGTCTCACCCTAGATTAAGACTATAAATATTTTAAGGTAAGTAATGAGTGCACTATGTGTGTATTGTACTATTTTATTGTTTTTTGATGCCTAGTTCTATTGCTAACTTAATATATGTTAGTGTAAACTTGTTATCTAGTATTTGTATGCATTTATAAGGGGAAAAAAAGGGTGTTCCACTTTAAGGCGATTTCTGCTTTACGGCGATTTCCACTTTACGGTGGTAGCCTGGAACCTAACCTGCTGTATAAGTGGGGCCCTACTGTATATGGAATAGGTGGTAAGCTACTAAATGCTGTAAAGAGCTTTTATGAGGATAGTGAGGCTCAGGTTAGGGTGTGTAGAAGAGAGGGAGACTATTTCCTGGTAAAAGTAGGTCTTAGACAGGGATGTGTAATGTCACCATGGTTGTTTAATATATTTATAGATGGGGTTGTAAGAGAAGTAAATACTATGGTGTTCGGGAGAAGGGTGGGATTAAATTATGGGGAATTAAATACAAAATGGGACGTGACACAGTTACTTTTTGCTGATGATACTGTGATTATGGGAGATTCTAAAGAAAAATTGGAAAGGTTAGTGGACGAATTTGGGAGTGTGTGTAAAGGTAGAAAGTTGAAAATGAACATAGAAAAGAGTAAGGTGATGAGGGTATCAAATGATTTAGATAAAAATTGGATATCAAATTGGGGAGGAGGAGTATGGAAGAAGTAAATGTTTTCAGATATTTGGGAGTTGACGTCTCAACGGATGGATTTGTGAAGGATGAGGTTAATCATAGAATTGATGAAGGAAAAAAGGTGAGTGGTGCATTGAGGTATATGTGGAGGCAAAAAATGTTATCTATGGAGGCAAAGAAGGGAATGTATGAAAGTATAGTGATACCAACACTCTTATATGGATGTGAAGCTTGGGTTGTGAATGCTGCAGCGAGGAGGCAGTTGGAGGCAGTGGAGATGTCCTGTCTCAGGGCAATGTGTGGTGTAAATATTATGCAGAAAATTCGGAGTGTGGAAATTAGGAAAAGGTGTGGAGTTAATAAAAGTATTTAGAGGGCTGAAGAGGGTTTGCTGAGGTGGTTTGGTCATTTAGAGAGAATGGATCAAAGTAGAATGACATGGAGAGCATATAAATCTGTAGGGGAAGGAAGACGGGGTAGGGGTCGTCCTCAAAAAGGTTGGAGGGAGGGGGTAAAGGAGGTGTTGTGGGCGAGGGGTTTGGACTTCCAGCAAGCATGCGTGAACGTGTTAGATAGGAGTGAATGGAGACGAATGGTGTTTGGGACCTGATGAACTGTTGGAGTGTGAGCAGGGTAATATTTAGTGAA